ACCTTCACAGCCTGTGAACAGGAGCCCTGCTTTCCGACCTGCCGACCTTGGGTTCACCAGCTTCTGCAGCTGCATTAATTGGGAGAGGCCTCTACCCTGATCCACAGACTTGGGATGTTCTAGCCTCTACAATCACATGAGCTGATTCCTTGATATAAATCTCTGTCTATGTATATATATTTATATGCTTTACTCGTTTTGCTTCTCTAGAGAACCCAGGCTAAGACAGTGCTGTTTCTTCCATTGCCAGGATTCATAGGTCCAGGGGTGGAAATAGGAGTGGCAACACTCACTATTACCCCTAGTGAGCTACTCGTAAAATTTTTACTTCCTGTCCCTGTGACCCTATGCTTTCCGGGTTTAGAGTTCTTAGTTGCAAACGGAGGAATGTTCCCATCTAGGAACACAGCCATTGTTCCATTGTATTGGAAGTTAAGAATGACACCTGGCCACTCTGGGCTTATTATGCCTCTGGATCAACAGGCAAAGAAGGGAGTTTCCATATTGGCTGGTGTGATTGATCCTGATTACCAAGAGGAAACTGGATTGATATTGCATAATGGAGGTAAAGAAAAGTATGTCTGGAATACAGGAGATCCCTTAGGGCATCTCTTAGTACTACCATGCCCTGTGATTAAACTCAATGGAAAACTACAGCAACCCAATTCTGACATGACTACTAATGGTACAGACCCTTCAGGAATGAAGGTTTGGGTCACCCCACCAGGCAAAGAACCACAACCAGCTGAGGTTCTTGCTGAGGGCTAAGGGAATACAGAACGGGTGGTGGCAGAAGGTAGTTCCAAATACCAGTTATGACTATGTGACCAGTTGCAGAAACTAGGATTGTAATTGTTATGAGTGTTTCTGCCTTGCATGTGTGCACCAAATATTTTTGTTTTCTTCACTTATAAGCTATAAGATATAAACAAGGCTAGTGGGTTTTTGGTTGTATGTGTGTTAGTTGTATCATGTTAGGTGCAAGTATGACTTTATAATTGTCTTCATTAAGAAATTATGTATGCTTTAAGGAAATGTGTAGAGGTGCCAAGTTGACAAGGGATGGGCTGTGATAGTTAAAGTTGTGTGTCAACTTGGCTAGGCCATGATCCTCAGTAGTTTGGTAGTCATATGATGATGTGATCACTTCCATGATGAGATTTGATATAATATAATCACCTCCATGATGGGATCTGCTGTGTAGCCAATCATTTGAAAGGGAATTTCCTTGGAGGTGTGGCCTGCATCTGATATAAGTGGACTCTCTGGCAAGGCTCATGGGCTTTTTCTCGCTCTGGATCCTGCAGCTGGCTCTTGTTTGTCTGACCTCTGGTTCTTAGGACTTTAGCTAGCAGCTTACCTGTGACTACATGAACCAGGAGAAGCCTCTTGCCTAATCTACAGATTTGGGACATTCCAGCCTCTACAACTCCAAGAGACATTTCCTTGATATAAATCTCTTTATGTAGATATTTATATGATTACTGGTTTTGCTTCTCTATGGAGCCCAGCCTAAGACAACCCCTTAAGTGGACCCAGTCCTCAAGTTAAAGTGTAAATAAACAAATGCACTAAGTATGAAGCCCTGGTGGCAGTGGTTAAGAGCTATGACTGCTAACCAAAAGGTCAGTAGTTTGCATCTACCAGCCACTCCTTGGAAACCCTATGGAGCTGTTCTTCTCTGTCCTATAGGGTTGCTATGAGTCAGAATCAACTCTTTGGCAATGAGTAAGTATGAGTGGGTTGTAGTAAAGGAAATGGCATAGGGCGACTCTCTCACATTAGCCCCAAGCAGAACTAGGAAAAAAAAAAACGAAAGCCTTCAAAAAATCTGGAGAGCATTTGATTTGGATGCAGATTCCCTGAAGTCAAATCCAACTTGGATTAATGGCCTTGGATTGTGGTTAATGATGAGGCACATTTGGGCATTAAAAAATAAGAACAATGTTTGGGGAGAGAGGTTTAGCCATTTTCTTGCACATACAAAAGGATGGAGGTTGAAATGAAGATGAGTGGGACTATTGCTGAACATTAGCTAGGGTCTCTTTCTGCTGTTCAGTCTCCTATATTACACTAGGTCTCTGAGAGGTCATCTTCACCTCCAGTGCCTCTCTGTGCACACATGCTCATCTCTTCCCCCCCCCCCTCCACACACACACACTCACCACTACCACCACTGCCTCTGAGAAGATAGAGGTCTTCTCTTCTGCTGCTGGTTCTGAGATGGATATACCTGACCAGTCCAGCTGCAATTAACCCTGCCCCCACCTGAACTATTGCCTGAGTAAGCACTCCTTTGGGGGCATTTCCCTGGGATTTTAATTACAGGTGATACCAGTAAAACCAAGCAGATTTTAAAAGTTAAATAAAATGAGTAATAAAGTATAGGAATGTATTTTAAAACATATAGTAACAGCTTTTTTCTGGTATTCACTGAAATATTCCTAAATTCTTATGCTTTCTTCTATATTAAGTTATGCCTTAATTTTTCTCTTGAGAGCCAGTCTTACTCAACTTTGTATCACCCACGTCTCCTCTCTTTTCAACAGATAAGTCCCAATTTTAAGTCCTATGTATACCATTATTTCTAGCTCAGAATCCCATTTAGGAGGTTTAAAAGGCACAGAACAAAAGGCAACAAATTTCAAATAGCAGCCAACTAAGCTCTAAAAGATAAAGGACAAATATTCTCCTTGCTCCAGCCAGGGAAGTCATCTCTGAATTCCTCTCTCAGATGGGCAACTGAAGGAAACTGGGAATCCCTTGTTGGCTCTGGCATGGCTACAGGGACCCATAATCTCTGATGATCAATTAGTCTCTGCCATGGATAAGAAGGTCCAAGGAGACCCAAGGGTTGCAGGTTTCCACAGAGATGGCATTTGCTTCTCACAGGACTCGACTTGCAGAAAGCAATGGGTATGTGTGTCCAGCTGTGCCAGTGGCCTCTGAAAATTGCTGGAGTATGAGATATACTCCCTTTAATACAAAACTGAGTGGTCATTTTCTCCGCATGCCAAACATAACACATTAAATGCAAATTTTTTTAAATTAAATTCTGTCTTGCTTGTTCAAATAATCCATTTTTCTCCATTAGGTTAATGCATGTGCTTAAATTGTTTAGACCTCCGTATACAAAGATTATCATGTATCCCTATCCTTGTTAGGAATGTATCCTAACATTCAGGAGAAAAACTTTTCATTCCATGAAGATTGTATCAGCTCTGTTGGTTGGTGCCTTGAGCTAATAAATATGGGGATCTTAGGTACCGGCTAGCTGGGTAGGCTTTGGAATAAGACAGGCCAGATTCAAATTATAGCCCTCCACTTAATGGCTGTGTAACTTGAAGCAAAATACTCAAAATAATTATCTAACCTTTAGTTTCTTGATCAATACAAGTATTTAGGGGAGGTAAATAATACCTATCTTTCATGTTTTAAGAATTAAATGTGGTAAGGACCATATAAACCAGAGACTCCATCAGCCTAAGACCAGAAGAATTAGATGATGCCTGGCTACCACCAATTATCGCCCTCACAGAGAAAACAACAGAAAGTCTCTGACAGAGCAGGAAAAAAGTGTGGAACAGAGCTCAAATTCACATAAATAGACCAGACTTAATGGTCTAACTGAGACTAGAGGAACCCCTGAAGCCATGCCCTCACCCCACCCCCAGATGCTATGTTAACCTAGAACTAAAACTTTTCCCAAAGACCACTCTTCAGACAAAGATTAGATTGGACTATAAAACATAAAATAATACTCTTGAAGAGTGTGCTTCTTAGTTTAAGCAGATACACAAGACCAAATGGGTGGCTCCTGTCCAGAAGCAGGATGAGAAGGCAGGAAGGGACAGGAGCTGGTTGGATGGACACGAGAACCGCAGGTGGAAAGGGGGAGTGTCCTTACATTGTAGGGATTGCAACTAGTGTCACATGACAATACATGCATAAAATTTTTTTGTATGAGAGATTAACTTGAGCTGTAAACATTCACCTAAAGCACAATTTAAAAAACGTAATTAAATGTGGTAATGGAATATATCCTACAGCATGGTGCTTGGACTATAATAAACCCATTGCTGTCGAATCGATTCTGACTCATGCAATCCCATATATTACAGAGTACAACTGCTCCATGGAGTTTTATTAGCTGTGATCTTTAAGGAAACAGGTCTCCAGGCATTTTTTCCATGGTGCCACCGGGTGAGATCAAACCACCAACCTTTAGGTTAGTGGTCAAGAACAAACCACTTGCGCCACCCAGGAACCTTTGGACTATAATGAGAGTACAATAAATGGGAAGTATTATTATAGGAAATAGTAGCTTTACGCTACTATCCCCTCTGACCAAAGAACACCTGAGTAACTCAGAAATGGCTAGAACCCTGGCCAGGATCAACTAAAGTAAAATTGTGAAGCATGATAAGCTCATATTTGATTACTTCTCCAACTACCTTTCTCTCTAACCGCAATCTTCCCTACTAACAATACACCTTCAAAAAGAAAAGACAATTGGCAGGGTGTGGAAGTAAGGGTTGGATTCAGTGTTACTGAAACCTGGAGCTCAGTGTCACCTCACGTTTGCTATGTAAACTTGGATAAATTATGTAAACCCTATGAACCTCTATTTCATCATGAATAAATAAGGAATATATCAAAACTATCTCACAATATTGCTGCATTAATGACAATTTATGCTAAACAGTTACTAAATATTAAATAAATATTAGTTACCATTTTCGGAATAAATGAACTCAACATGAAAATTATTGAGACTGTAAAAGGTTATTAACAAGGGTACCTGCACTTTGACATGACACTAACATTTAAGTACATGGAATAACATGACAGTGGTGGAATTTCAGGTATCCATTGTCTTCACACTTTGACCTAGAGCTTCCTGAACCTACCACCACTTCCCACCACAGTAATCTCTTTTTCTCACTTTTGTCACTCCCTACTATTCTTTCTTCTCTCCTATATCACTTCCTCCTGGGTTTTTTTCTATTCTTTTCTCTCTTGCACGTAAAATATCTTGTCCATGATACCACTCAGCTTTATGGGATCTTTGGTGGAGCTGATGAGATGCTGATGGTTCCCTTGACTCAATCAGTGCCACTGAAATGATTTTACCTTTTTCTTCAGGTAGGTAAATGACATCCATGTCTCAGACTCTATATGCCCCATATAAGTACCTCTGTTCATGATCTCTTTATTTGCTCCAAGAATCATAAAAGGGTTATGTAAGAAACCTTCAAAATGAGCCCTGAGAGGTGAAGGAATATGGTCAGGGTCACAAGTAATTTGTAGAAGAGCAGGAGTGAATTCTTGTCCTCAGCCTTTGGGTATACTTACATGGCACCAGGTTGGGAATCACTGACCTTAGAAAAGGTGATTTCATTTAGAATTAAGTCTTCTCTCACTCTCAGGCTTGCCTAGAACCCAGACACTCTCCAAAATGGCCACAATACCCACTTCCCAACTTCTTTTCTTTGGAAAGCTGTGATATAGATCAATACTTACTCCCTCCTGCAAAATGATCAAAAACATTGAACTAGAAAGAACCCCAAGAGATCCCCATTTCCAACTGCCAAACAAGGAGGTGCTAAAATCCTGAGGCCTACCAAGGGCTATTTTCTACTCACCAACTGCCCCCCCAGGAACAAGATGGGCTCCATGACCTGAGAGTTATTACAGACAATCTTATTGGTCCTCCTTTCCCCCTCCTATCCTAAGTCTCTGTCTTTGCATAGTGCCTTCCTCAGAGCCCCCTTCACATCCTTGTTCCTTAGGGTATAAATCAGAGGATTGAGCATAGGGGTAATTATAGTATAAAAAAGGGCAACAAGTTTTCCCTCACTTTGAGAATAACTATTTATGGGTTGAAGGTATGTGTAGATGGCTGAACCATAAAAAAGGGAAACCACCAAGAGGTGGGACCCACAAGTCCCAAAAGCCTTTCTGCGTCCAGCAATTGAGTTGATCCTCAGCAATGCCTGAGCAATGTGTACATAGGAGCCTAGGATTAGTACTGCAGGAAGCATCACAATAATGACTCAGGCCACAAACATCTTGACCTCTGTCTCTTGTGTGTCCTCACAAGCCAGCTTCAGGAGCACAGGCATCTCGCAGAAGAAGTGGTTCAGGTGATGGGGGCCACAGAGGGGCATGGCCATCGTAAGGCCTGTCTGAACTGCAGAGTTCATGAAGCCTCCCACCCAGGAGATGACAGTCAGTGTCTGGCAGAGACAGGGGTGCATAATGGCCATGTAGTAGAGTGGTCGACACACAGCAGCATAGCGGTCAAAGGTCATCACCATCAGGAGCACATACTCAGTGGAGGTGAGGGTGAGGAAGACGAAGAGCTGGGCCACACACCCTCCATAGGTGATGGTTCGGTCGTGTCCATGAAGGTTGATCAGAAGCTGGGGCACAGTGCTGGTAGTAAAGCAGAGGTCCAGGAAGGAGAGATGACAGAGGAAAATGTACATGGGTGTTTGCAACCAATGATCCATGCAGGAGAGAGTGATGATGGTGGTATTGCCAAAGAGAGTTAGGGAGTAGAAAATTGAAATAAAGACAAAAAGAGCAAGTTCCAGTTGAGGTCAATCTGAGAAACCCACCAAAATGAAGCCTTCTCTGGAACTAGTGTTGAACCTTCCTGAAATGTAAGGTAAACAAACTGTGGTAAAATAAATTTCTGTGTGTTAAAGCCTTCCACTTATGGTACTTCTATTATAGCAGCACTAGAGAACTAAGATATTTCCCATAGCCTTTCACCTGTCCAAATAGCGGAGGACAAGTTAACGCCTCTTATAATGAACATGGGCCTGTGTGGCACAAACCATTACGTGCTCAGCTACTAACTGAAAGATTGGAGGTTCAAATCCACCCAGGGGCACCTGAGAAGAAGGGCCTAGCAGTCTGCTTCTGAAAGATCACAACCATTGAAAACACTATGGAACACAGTTCTACTCTGAAACTCATGGGGTCCTCATGATTCAGAATTAACTCTACAGCAATTGGTTTGGTTTGGTTTATGAAGAACATGGATTAATACATTATTTTATAGTATTCTCTAAATACTCCTAAGTCATGTTATTTTATTATCTACTTACTATTCAGTTCTGTTCTGTCCAGTCTTCTCCTTTTCTTACTCTTCTTGAGAGTGGAGATCATTCAATTAGAAATAGTGTGACATTTATTTGAACTCTATTCTTGTTGCCTGCTTGTTCCATGAGTTCAGCCATACCCCTTAATACCTTGGATCTGGTGTTTCCTTGTCCTAAAGCAAAGATGATATATTGCCTCACTTTAGGCATTGTGGTAAAAACCAAATGTAATAATATGAAAACTGCTTTTAAAAATCTAAGGTGTGAAAATGTAGCATTTATATTCTATGTTGTTCTCTTTTGCTCTTTTTCTTGATCTATTAGATAGCATATTTCAGTAGATTAGAACCATGGATAATGAGGCTGAGATCTCAACTTTGATGTCTGGGAGCTCATTTGCTTCCTTCTGCTCAACTAGTATGATCAGCTCACCGTTTCTGGAAGCCCTGCTCAAGACCAGCTGCCACTTGTCACAAAGGACTGAAAAGAATGTAGATTCACCCATTTGGGGGGAAAAAATTAGCAGCAAATATCCTTCTTATGATAAGTCATCATGCCTGGAATACACTCTCACTTCTTCTACACCTGATAAATCCATCCTTCAACTCTGCAGGAAGAGTTAGTTTTTCCCTTCTTCTAGCCCATTCCTCTTTTTACAGTTTCTCTCTAGCACCTGTAACACTGCATTAAAATTATTTTTACGTGTCTTTGTCCCTCTCTGAGTTGTGATCACCTCAGTGGTAGGGAACATAGTGAATACAAAAATAAATATTAGTATCTTCCTTTACGGTACACGAAGGTGCTAAATTAATGTTACTTTCTTTCATGGCATGTAACCAAACCCTTTGCTGTCAAGTTGATTACGACTCCTAACAACCCTATAGGACAGAGAGGAATTGGCCCTTTTGGCTTCAGAGGTCCAGCTGGTGGATTCAAACTGCCAATCTTTTGGTTAGCAGCTGAGTTCTTAACCACTGTGCCACCAGGGCACCTCATAGCATATAAAACTTAAACCCCTTGCCATCGAGTCGATTCTGACTCATAGCAAACCTGTAGGACAAAGTAGAACTGCCCCATAGGGTTTCCGAGAAACAGCTAGTGGATTCGAACTGCCAATATTTGGTTAGCAGCCTGGGTAAATGTTAAATAAATTTTGTTGAATAAAAACATTTTACTCTCCCTTCAAAGCTCAAGGAAATTATTTATTCTAAGTAACATACAGATTAATTACGGACACACAGTGACAAACTATGGAAATGGGATATGCATAAAAAGATGCTGTCTTTTAAGATTGATATTTCTTGTAGTAAAAATCTAAAAAGGACTATAAAGAGTGTGTTAGCAAGAAAAGAAAAAAAGAAAACAAGTGATCACCCATAGCCTTCTATATGATCAATTAAAATAATTTTTGGCTTTCTGTTCATTGTCATGGAAAATCTGGCAATGAATATTTATGATGGTTAATGTAATTAGTGTTACTAAATAGTACTCCTGAAAAATCTTGAATTGGCAAATGTTGTGTTATATATATCTTTATATACAAAAACTAAAAATAAATAATTTTTAAACAATAATTTTGGTAAATTAACTCATTTCTTTTTTTTTAAGTTTACGGAACTGGTAGACCATCATCAATGAATCAGTGCTGCATCAATAATTCCAGCAAGGTATTTCAATGCCACTCTTGATGTGCTTGTGAAAAAGATGGATTAAAACGTGAGTTAATAATAGTATAGTGTTAATTCACATGTAGCCTAACCAATATAGCAAAGCTATTTTCTAAATGTCCACCATAGTTAAACACAACGGGCTTGGAGTGCCTACATCAGAGCCCCACAGATCTGCTCAGCCACTGACCAGTTGTGCCACCTATTTAGGAAAATTCACTTCTGTGAGTCTCGGATTACCCAATTGTAAACAGAGATAATATCTTGCTTCCCCGTATTTTGATGAGAATTAAATGATATGATGCATTCTGTAAGCTGCCAAGAATATGCTATACACACTTTGAATACTTGTCTGTCTCCACCACTAATCTATACATTCCATGTAACTGCATCAATTTTTGTTCATCATTGTATCTTCATCTCCCTGTGCAGTGTTTGGTGAATAAAAAGCTCTCAATAAATATCTGAGCTGGAATTATGCCTGGTACACATAAATGTTCCAGAAATATTTGTTTTTTTTTTGTGCAACATGCAAAGAATTACCACATATGCAATATAGCTTCTCGTTTAGTGGCACAAAGTTTTTAATCCAGCCCTGCTCTGTATTTTTATCAAGAATTTTTATAATGAGGTCCTACTTACTTGAAATAGGCAAATATATAGACACCAAAGTTTATTAACGGTTACCAAGAGTAACCAGGTGTGAGGGGAAAAGGGAAAGTCATTACTTAGGGGGCACTGAGTTTCTGTTAATGGTAATGGAATAGTTTGGAAAACCATAGCGGCAATGGTTACCCAACATGATGAACCTACTCAATGTCACTGAATTGTACATGCAAAATTGTTGAACTGGCAAATGTTTTGTTACATATATTTTTACCACAATAAAAAAATAAAAGAATGTTAAAAAAATAATTTTTATAATGCTATAGAGGTGTGCTTAATATACTTGCAATTGAACAAAAGTTTAGTAATATAATTAACATAATAAACGATAAGACCATAATCTGAAAAGATCTTGACATTATTAAACAAAGATCTTTAAACCAATAAGATACGATTGAACAGAGACAATTGAACCTAGCTTCAAAACCTCAACTGCACAAATGTAGAATAGAAGGAGACCTAACTTGACAACCATTCGTTAAAAAGTGGAAAACAGAGATGATCTGGGGGTGTGCTAACCAAAAAACTTAACACAAATCAACAATGCCCACTTGACTGTTGAATTTTACCAAATGCTCGCTCAAACTATATAAAAATACTGGACCTTGGACTCTCTAGTTTGGAAGGAAACCTGAAGATCTTTTCCTATAGTCCCTGCACCATTTGATGAATGGTTCCCCAGTACAGCATCCCAAACCAAGAACTTATGTAATGAAGCCCCTGCTTCACTTCCTCTTCCTTTATTATCCAGTTTTTTGCACCTTTATTTTCTTGTATCTATCAGCTTCCTATTTCCATATTTATGTGTCTTAATTCATTGGTCCATCATGTCAATTATTTTCTTGCTAATATCCTTGACTTATTATCACCCTGCCCCAGGCACCCAATTCTGGAAGAATGCAATTCTCTATAGTTTCCATAAATAAATTGAGGTTAACAAGTTCTGCTGGAAAGAATGATTCAAGTGTCCAATTCAATGTTACTAAAACTTTATATTCTTAATAATGTATCTTTTTTTAGTTGTGGTGCAAATATACATGACAAAACATCTGCCAATTCAAAAATTTTTAAATGTATAATTCAGTGACATTGATTAACAATGTATTTTTAACACCCTCCCTCTCTACTGGCCCTTTCCCAACACACCAGATATGTGAAAAAGCCCCTCCAATTGAAAAATAATGTCCCTTCACACTGTGCCCCTTTCCAGCTACTGCACTGTCTTTCCTCCTCTTCATAGATAAGTTTATTGGAAGAGTTGTCTGTGCTCAATGTTTCAACTTCGTCCCCTCCCACTCACTCTCCAACCTGCTGCTATATGGATTTTGTCCTCACAACTCTTTATAGAAACATCCAGTGGACATTCTTCAGTTCTCATCTTTGTTACAGCATATTATCTGTTGACCATTGCCTCTTTCTACACAAATCTGTTCCTTTCCTGAATTTCTTCCTGCTTCTCTGGTCATTCCTCAGTCTCTTTGGTGTGATCCTGTATCCCTGTGCAGCCCTTACATGTTGGAGTTTCTCCTCAGGGTTCCACCCGAGAACCCCAGAACCTATTACCATTCTACACTCATCCTGTAAAATGCCATCCATTCCAGGGCTTGAATCACAGGTCACTGTGTTGATAACACCCAAATGTATCTCTCCACCAAAATTTCTCTTCTGAACTTTAAACTTCTGTAATCCATCTTCTTTCCAGTCATCTGCACTTGGATGTAATGTAGACATCTCAAACTCAGCAGGTCTAATACTGAACTCATCATCTTCCCCCTACAAAACTGCTTCTCCTCTTGTGTTCCCTATTCCAGGGAAGGCATCACCAAGCTACCCTGTTCACCAAACCAGAAAAGGGGTCATCAGCCTCTATACCTCCTCTATGGATTCAGGTCACAGATTAGATGTTGCTTCCTCTAAGGCAGTGGTTCTCCACTGGGACAATTTCATTTTTCAGAAAACATTTTTTAATGTGTGGAGACGCTTTTGGTTGATACGACTGCAGGAGGTGGGGGAAAAGCTACTAGAATCTAGTGTGTAGATGCCAGGAATGCTGCTAAACATCCTACAATGCACAGGATATTACACAGACACACCAGAACTAAGTGGCCCAAAATAATTATTTCTCTATACCACCCTACAAAAGCTTTTAGAGAGCAAAGCTGTGTTTACTTTGCTCACGGTTGTAGCTTTAGTGCCTAGAATAATGAATAGCACATAAAAGTACTAAATAATTAAGTCCCTCATGCCTGCAGGCGCTCACCTGCACCAGCTCTTTAATCAGTGCATGGAAAGACATGAAGTCTTGAAGCAGTTTCAGTCTTATTCAGAAAGTAAGACGTTGAGGTAGTCCTGCTTCCTTGGGATCTGGTGCCTTTTATCTGAAATCTGGTGTGTCAGGAGAGAGTCTCAATATCCACGTAGCTTTTAGATTAAATTTTTTTCTATTCCTGCTCCATCATATTGAGTTTCTCCTGCCTCACCAAGGCCTGCTCTCTTATGAGATGCCTTCCTTGGGGGGTATGTTCTGATTCCTAATCTCCAGCAATTGGCCAGGGTCCTGGTGAGAATAAGCTGATCTCCCAGAACAACAGCATCCTTATCTGTCTGAAGTGTCACATTAAACCCCTCATGAGACTGATGCCAGTGATTCCCTGTACTCGGCACAGCTTGCCACACTCTCCAGAATTGGCTGCATATCTGTCACTCAGGAACCAGTTACTGCAGTTAGGATACTTTTTCAATTCCTCACGGAGCTTTACTTTCTTCACTCTTCCTACGATCTCAATTGCTGGGTTCTTCCTCATACTCACATACGGTAATCATAAAAAGAAACACTCTTCTTAAATCCCTCCTGAACAGGACACTCACAAACTCCCCGGGAGTCCTTTCCATCTTTCAATAGCAGTTGGAAATGATGCTCACATGGACCCAAAGGTGGGCCTTTTGTATATTCCACACATTATTCCTAGCGCTATACCTCATAACCCAAGTGAGCTTGATCATAAGGCTAGCCCTTCCCTGGTCAAACCGGCTCAGGAACTGGCCAGCATTTAGTTATTATGTGAAGAGTTCCATTGCATGCAGCTGGGCAGGGGTGAGGGGAGGAGGGAGGTCTCATTAGGAGAGGACACTGAATAAACAGAAACCTCCATCCAACGACAACCCTCCAAATATCTGAAGGAAACAATCATGACATGCAATCTTTGCTGAATTTCATATTCCTCCACTGAAGGCAATAGATTCAAAATGTCTGTAATCTTTCACGTTTCCGAGATCTATCATTCCAGTAAAAGAAAAAAAATGAAGTTAGGCTGATATAACTGCTTCCTAATGCACTCATGTTCTAATCTCAACCCTCCAGATGTTCACAAATAATCCTTCTACAATTTCACACTGAAATATATGTATAGTGCCCAACAGTCTGCACTGCTCAGATACAATTTTGAGTATTTTGCAAGCTCTAGGCAGTAGACTTGGATTAAAACCATGAAAAATCCATAGATGCCAGAAAAAAACAAAACTTATAAGGCATCTGAGAACATCTCAAATGAGAAACAGATTTTTTTATTGTGTTTTTTAGATTGGAAATTAGAAAGCTTTAAGACAAACATGATAGCTTTTATATGTGTTTAAAGAGCTGTTATATAGGAAAGGTGGTAAACTTGCTTTGTGCTCCTCCAAAGATCATAATTAGGACGAAGTGATGGAATTTACAGGAGGATGGATGTTGCTCAATATGATGAAAACTTTTTTTAAAAACATACAGCTGTCTAAAAATGGACTTCCTGGAAATGTAGTGATTTTCTCATGACTTGAAAGCTTCATGCTCATTCAGAGGCTGAAAGCTGACCTTTTGAGATGTTGTAAAAATGTTCCTGCATTAACTGGCAGACTGAGTTAAATGTTTTTGAGTATCTGATCCAGCCCTGATCTTTTGTATTTTTCTAATCTTAATTTTTTGAAGAATAAAATGTAACCTCTACCCCTAAGCCCCTTAGCACACACAAATCACAACCTTACTTGCATATTTAAGACTAGTGATTTTCTGCATTTCAAGGATTAATGTTTGTCTGTGTTCTTCTCCGTGTGTGTTTTTGTCTGTGTGTATGTGCATCTGTGGGTCTCTGCATGATCTCTATAAATAATAAACTTTTTGAGATCAGAAAGCATGTGTTAAAAAATGTTTCAGCAGCATGCAATACTACTCCCTTCATGCCAGTCCACTAGTTTAATGATATTGTCTGACTAGAATGGAGCCACATTCAAGTCAGAAAATTTAATCTTCTACTCTGAGCAAAAGAGGGATTCCACAAACTCCTTTATAATCACCTTCATTATTAGAACATCCATCCTTACATATGAATCTAATTTCACTTCCTTATATTACCTGCATGTGTAGTTTTCTTATTAGCTTTTGGAAAATTAAACTATCAAACCTTGGCACCAAAGGATCCTTCTATCCATTCTCCATCACAGTCCCCCTCCTACAGACCCAGTCATTCTCTCATCCTGACCCGACTCCTCTCACATACAATATCCTGCTCCATTCCATGAGTGTTTAGGGTGATGTGAAGACTCTTTTACAAATCTCCAGTAATAATCCATAAACTTTTTCTACTACAAGACCAGAGAAACACAACTAAAGTCCAGTTAGCTTAATTGACATTCAAAGGCTGAATTAACATATCGTTTCTGTTCTGACTCCTCATACAGAACTCTGTTTCTCCAAATGGGATGGATTCTTTCCTATTGTATACTCTTCCAAGAAGTCTTCTTTATCTTCAACAATTCTGGTCATGCCTCTCTCTTTGTCTCCTGGATCTGTTGTATACAGTATACTTCGCATATTAGAGCCATTGGCATCTAGGATTTGAGTTTTGGAAGGGACCTTCAAAATTACTTTAAGCCAACTCTCATACTTGCAATAAAGAAACTGAAAGTCCTATAATTGTTCAGTAATTTCCCCATGTTTATGCAGTTGTAGAGTAAGAGATACAGATAAGAATACTTTTTGACCTGCTGTGTGTAGTTAATGAGACGATGGGTGGGTGAGTGGTGGAGAAAGAAAGACTATCATTGATAAAATGTATTTCTGCATGAATTTAACATCTCTGTGTCCTCTAACAGGGGACCTTACACAATGAAACCCAGGGCTAATTGTCTAATGGAACGTTCCTAGAGTTTTCTGGATTCTGACTGTGAAGCCAAAGGAACTCACCTAGTCTGCACTCGCTCCAATGTTCCAGGAAAGAAAATTACCACACTTACCTCTCACAATTCTACTGGCTTCAGAAGCAATTTGAGACTGGTTGCTTTTAGAAATGCCTGAGGAAAACATGTTCTTCTGTGGTCCTAACTTCATCTGTGGGGTGGAGGGTTCCAATCAGAACTCCTTTCTTAAGAGCTCATGATTACATATGGTTTCCACGCTCAGTAGGGAAGACTGATGATGGAAGAGGCTATACAGGCCTGGCTCACTATTATTTACTCCCCATTGCTAACTGCCACATTGTCTCATGATCTTGTTTCTCCAGTCTCTACAAAAGGTTTAAGATTAACCAATGTTCCTCCTTGGACGGTACAAAACAAGTGATAATGATCTAAGGATGAAAACCAAAAAAAAAACACCCATCTTGTGACAAGAAAAACCAGGATGTCGCCAGATAATCCCCAAAAATGTCACCAGAAAACCCCCAAGAATACCAGTAGAAGATTAGCTCATCTGAGACATGACCACCTCAAGGAGAAACTAACACAAACTTCTAAGACCCATAATCCTGTCCCTATAAAAGCCTTCAGCCGATCTCCAGTGGGGGAGATGAGTTTTTTTTTTTGAGGAATCTATTCCCCTCCGTGTCCTATATATCTATATATGATAAACCTCTTGCTGCTCACCTCACCCCTGTCTCAGAATTGGCTATTGCAGCAGGCGGCTCAAATCTGTGTTATTGCGGTAACAAGACCCATAATTTGGGGGTGTGACCATCTTTCTCATTGTACCCCCATGCACTCCCCTAGCCATCTATGACCAGGATCAAGCTAGAGTATTATCAAACCACCTCCTGACCCAGGACTGAGCCCAGGTTCTACCTAGGGGCATTGCCAATGTCTCTTTTAGAGCACTGGACAGAGAATTGTTCACCAGGTGACGCCTGCAGACCGCTGGGTCCCAATGTGACAATTATAATCTGAGTGGCACCAAGATCTGCCTTGCAAGCCTCAATTCTCTCTACTCCGCTTACCCAAAGCATCTCCCCATCCAAACTGATCTATGCAGTGTAGTCAGAGTACACCTTTTTACTTGGCCCATGCTACTCCTCAGCCTGGAATTTCTCCTACTTCCTCTATTTTGATCCAAATCTTATCCACCATTCAAAAATCACACCAGTTCCAATGTCTCACTTGAAGCTTACGACTTCAAACATCGTCATACACTTCAAATATCTTCCTTCTCTGAACTCATGTACTGCTCATATATTCTCATTTATGTGTATCATTAATTCAACTAATTAATAATGTCCTTGATGATAAGTTTGATATTTTTATTTCTGTCTCTATCATAATATTTAATGTATTAATATTTCTTATTTCTTTATACCCTGTTTTAACCCACAAAGAATTTAAAAAGAAGATTTTTCATTTATAAATTTATTGAAATTTATATGAAGCAATGAACGGTGTTCTAGACATCATGGAAAATAAATAATTCAACAACTGAAATTATTTTCACCCATTAAGGTATGATAATATAATGTAGCAAAAAATACCTCTTCCATTTACTAGCTTTGTGAACTTGAAAAGCTTTCTTGACATGCTTGAGCCTCAGTTTCTCTATCAGTAAGGTGAGGAAAATACGACCTCTCTTGAGGCACTGTTTTGTGCACTAACCACACAATGTATGTAAAGTGCCTGGCATATGGTAGACATTCATTCAATGGAAGCTAGAATTACTGTAATATACACTTTACATTTCCCCAAAAAGAAAACTTGTACCCTTTTGAAATCACTCCCTAGTCCCACCCTCCACCCCAGGCAAGCACTAATGTACTTTCTGTCTCTATAGATCTGCCTTTTCTGGACGTTTCACATAAACTGACTCTTACGGTATGTAATGTTATGTCTAGCTTCTTTTTCTTAGCATAATGTTTTCAGGTTATGTCGATGTTACAGCATGGATAGAACTTTATTTCTTTTCAATGGCTAAATAATATTCCATTGTATGTTTATGTACCACATTTTGTTTACCCATTCATATGTTGATGGACTCTTAGGTTGTTTCTACCTTTTGGCTATTGTGAATAATGCTGCTCTCAACAATTTTGTGTATGTTTTTGTGTGCATATGTTAATTGTTAATTTGCAAGGAAAATCACATAAAGTACATTCATCGAAATAAAGATGCTAATCATATGCCTAAACAACCTGGAAACTGAAGTCATTTTAACTCTGTAGTAGAGATTTAAAAAAAAGAAAGAAAGAAGGTAGAGAGGGAGGGAGAAAGAGAGGAAGGCAGGAAGGCAGAAAGGGAGGAAGGGAGGAAGGAAGAAAACAGAAAAATCTTCCTTGGTATTCAGAAGTCACATACTGGCAGCCATCTGAAAAGGAGTTTGACCTACATAGCATTCAGTTTTTCAGTGGAGTTTTTGCCAATATTTAAAACTCAGTTTCACATGAAAACTTGGATTTTCATCGTTTTCTTTATTGAAAATGCATTGGTATTGAGAACGGTGATTAAATGGAACTCATAGATTATAACAAATCAAATTCATCTTTGTGTGTCACTATCCCTCTAAACTGGATCAATG